TGAATTTTATTTTTTTTCTCAAGTTCACATCTCCCACTTCAATGATCAGGTATTCGGGCATATTATTTCAAACATATCGATCGTAGTTGTTATTGTTCGTAGTCAGAAAATTGTAAGGAATGGTATCATCAGCATGTGGATTCGTTGATATCCGCTCAATCTCTCACAATCAAGGTGCACGTAATGCATTTTGGTGATATTATGTACATACTCCAACTTTCACCGTAATTTCAGCCTTTTTGATGTGTTTACTTTGATTTGTTCAGCTTGCTCATTTACTTGAAGCGATTTCATTTGACGTGTCGTGTTCAAATGAAAGCGACAATAAATTTGTTGAAATATCGATAAATGAATAAAATTGTCAGTTTTCCTCCTTGTTCAGTTTTATGTTCGAATCAGTATGACAACACTTTATAAGATGAACATCATGTAACGATATTCTGCCGAAGAAATTTACAGCCAATGGATGACTTCCGTACTCAAAGACGGCTTGTTACAATAATAAAGAGCCTCAAACGGAACATCAGAGATAGAGACACACGAAGCATCACGACAAACGAAACATCACAGACGTCAGTTGCTTGATCGGTAAAATTTGGAAATACCGCCAGATTACATTGAAAATTCATGGTGTATAATGGAGCATCGAAGGGCTGTTATTAGTAGAGTCGAAGTCTCGCATTGTGATAGCCTGCAAACCATGTGCTAATCTGAAGATGACTGCAATTTTGAAACAAACGTTTCTCGGAAATTTTAAAGGATTATAAAAAAGACTTCCTTACTTGTCGAATGAACAGAAAAGTTCAATTATTCTATAGTTAGTAAAATCATCGCTGTCATCAATCGACATAAACGATAGAAATGCAGGTGTCTATTCATAAAACGCGAACAACATGTATGCGGGGCATTTGCCTGATCAGGATTATCTCATATTTCGTACTGGATCCCAATCAGAAAAGATCTTTTTAACGGATTTTATTGAAATGCCATGCGAAGATTTTTTAATCGGACTAATCTTACGAAGCAAGAGGAATCAACCGCCAGTTGTCAGCAGTGCCCGATTCATAGAAGTGAACACTATTCGTAACAATAACATGTAATGTTGCAATGCTGAATGATAACAGATTGCATCATTTTCGTTCGAATGCCACCAAAATAAACATTATTCAAGATTTATGGTAATTCATGATTATGATATCATAAATGATCAGCAATCAAATAATGCAATGATATAGATATCACAAATAATCACCGTTCAAATAAAGCAATATTCATTGAACAGTAACTGCCCGTCGCATATCGTTTTTAAGAAAAGTTGTGAAAATAAGTGGAGATAGAAATGTTCATTACCACATCTTAATACATTCTGATAAACCCAATATTAATTATCTCCTTTCAGTGAGAAATGCTGCTCGCAGAACCAAAATCAAAGTTCCTCATCTTTTTGCGCTGATTACTGATATCCTCCAAAATTTCGTCTGATGAACAAGTTATGAATTGCAATTGCAGTAAGCCAACGCCAGTGCAATTAAGTTTTAGTGCGATAAGAATTCGATGAATCATGAGAAGGTGCAC